ATGTGCTGGTCCACCCTGTCATCTTGATATTTTACAATAATATTTTAAATAATAATTCAATCATATCTGTATAAGCCAGTGTGTTCAACAGCTAGGTGTGGGGGCAATAACATGCAAACAAAAACTGCATCCAAATATCACAGTTTTCTCCAAATAAGAAAAAATGCATGTGCGAATTGCATGAGTTTCTTTAAAAGCTTTTAATTTTTTTATGTATTTATAATTTGAAAGCAAACAAATAACCCTGTTTAAGAAAGGGACATCATACCTTTCAGAAAATGTAATTTGCATCTTAATTTTGCAATGAAAACGTATTTAACAGTAATATATATGTCGATGAGAGGGTGGACATATTTTATGGTTTATGTTTCGAATAATGGCCCATAATTATCTAAAAAAAAAAATGTGTGGCTCAGCTAATATGTTTCTATAGTACTTGAGTGTCTACTATTTATGACATGACATAAAGCGAATGGGAAATTAAAACCAACATTTTTGAATATTGTGAGGGTTGAAAGGCACTCTATGGTGATACTGACCCTTTTAAGTTCTGGAAAATTCTCATAAATGAGCAATATCTTTAAAAAAAAAAATCATGGAAAAGACGTTTGGAGCAGAGCAAAATTTTTACATTAGCTATAGGCTAATGTACTTTTTGAGAGTAAAACTTTCCAAAATTTCAAGTGAAATTGTTTATAGCTATTCATAGCTAATCTATAGGCCTATATTATTAATAATCCTAGTACAACAGTATACAGGACTAGAAAATCTGTTAAAAATGTATACAAGAACACTATATAACGCTTCACAAAATGCATTGAATTAATATTGGATTGTACTGAAATTGTTGCTTTTTAAATTTTAAAACTGAGATTTGAAGGCCTGGAAAAAAGACTAATCACTTAAAAAATTAACGGATTCATTTACTGTAACGGTTCATTTTCTACCCAGAATTGCACCCATCTTTCACCCCATCAGCTACGGCCCTGGTGTCTGTCTAGTGTAGTGCAAGATGCAGCCTTTGAGACAAGCCCTTGTGTGACAAAGTGCAGTAACCTTCTCTAACAAAATGCCACAGCTTATTGCCAAGACCAGTCTGTTGTATCTTTGTCGGGAGGAGACGTTAGTTGGCTTTGACAGGAGGGAGGAATGGCGGCCAGTTCAGTGAGGCGATTCTCGAGAGATTATTGGAACGGCACCCTCTCCTCCTGTGAACTAAATTGAGGCGTCATTCCATCACCGCGCCAAATCATTTAAGAGCGAAATACGGAGCGTCCGCAAATGACACCAGGCCGATAAATAAAAAGAAGCGCACATTTGAATTGGCGGGAAGGGTTTTAATAAGGCAGTGAGTGTAATCAGTGGCTTCACTAGTGCCTGCCTCCATATAGCCAGGCATGATTGTCCGCCAGGGACGGTGATTTATGAGGGCAGCCGCAGCAGTGGCTTCTTGCTTGATTACATGGCTGCCCGCAAATGCATGCAGCAAACAGATATTAAATCAGTGGGCCATATTCCGATGACACCGCGCTGAAGGGAGCGTGGGCAAGGGAAGGGGCGTCTTCTCTCGGTGTGGGTGGGGAATTGCGTTTCCAGCGGTTTTGATGAGTTCGGTGTATGGCGGTCATTACTTATCATGAGACTGTAAATACTAAGGAGGGTTTTCCCATTACTGACATGTGGTTTACATGGGCCCTTGATAATCGCTAGATGGGAACAGGGCAAATGTGTGGCGCAGAAGAGAGTGTGCATTTGCATTATAAAAGCCTGTAGGTTTTGTGTTCATTGAGAATTGGGCCTAATTGAACGGAGGAATTATGGTATTCTTCTGCAGCCTGACGACGACTAACTTTACGTTAACCGTTGTTCATGTGAATTCAAAGACAGCCTGATGCTTTGTTTATAGACTATTTGTGGGTGGCTGTTTGTTGTTTCACCTATCAATTCGTGTCAATAAAGTATAATAGGGTAAATCCTGTATAGTGATTTATCCTATATAGTGCTTGCATAAAGCAAGTAGTGCATACACTTGTAGCTGTTATGTATCTTTGTAAGTCATTGTAAGCCCGCTTTTGAGGCATGCGCAAGCGCACGACCCCCACCCCCCACTTAAAAAAAAACAAGTGGGCTCCCCCAAAGTCCACGGTATAGTTCGAACACTGGAGAAGATAACTAATAATTATTGATCATGGTCTACAACAGAGGTTTCCGGGCTTTGTGGCCCCACGGGTCTATTAGTAACATTTTAGACACGCAGCAAACCAGCAAAATATTTAGTCATCGTTAATATTTAGGCTATCATTATGGAAAAGTTCTCCCAAAAATAGAACAATTTACTCACCCTCAGGCCATCCAAGATGTAGATGAGTTTGTTTTTTCATTGGTACAAATTTGAAGAAATTTAGCATTAAAGGGATAGTTCACCCAAATGAAATTATGTCATTAATTACTCACCCTCATGTGAATCCAAACCGGTAAGACCTTCATTCATCTTCAGAACACAAATTAAGCTATTTTTATGAAATCTGAACGCTTTCAGAAAGAAATGCAACTGAAACGTTTTATGGACAGAAAGGTAGTCGACATTGTTAAAATAGTCCATGTGACATCAGTGGTTCAACCTTAATTTTATTAAGCGAGAATACTTTTTGTGCGCAAAGAAAACAAAAATAACGACTTTATTCAACAATTCTTCTCTTCTGTGTCAGTCTTCGACATGTGTGTGGTGGTGTTGACGCAGGAGCCGGTATCCTATACCTTTCTGGGCCTTGAATGTGGTAGTTGCTTTGCTGTCTATGCAGAGTCAGAAAGCTCTCAGATATCATCAAAAATATCTTAATTCGTGTTCTGAAGCTGAACAAAGGTCTTATGGGTTTGGAACGACATGAGGGTGAGTAATTAATGACAAAATTTAAAAAAAAAAAATTTGGGTGAACTATCCCTTTAAATCACTTACTCACCAATGGATTCTCTGCAGTGAATGGGTGCCGTCCGCATAAGAGTTCAAACAGCAGAAAGAAAGAAAAAACATCACAATAATCCACAAATAATCCACATGACTCCAGTCCATCAATTAACATCTTATGAAGAGAAACATTGTGTGTTTTTAAGAAACAAATTAAGACGTTTTTACTTCAAACGAGTCCTCTATGCTTCCTCCAGTGAAATAGTCATGAATCAGGAGCGAAACATGCACAGATAATGTACTGTTTACAAGTGAAAACAGTCCAAAACATTTTTAAACAAATATGTTGGTGTATTTTGATGTGAGAGGAAAACACTTTTTACGGCCTTACACTTGAGGAAGAATAATTATGGATTTTGATCTCATATTTTGGTCAGAAGCAACAGTTAAAACCTCTTATTGATGGATTTGTTTATTCCAAACGCACAGTTTTTCTCTTCACAAGATGTTAATTGATGGACTGGCATCATGTGGATTATTATTATCCTTTTATCAGCTGTTTGGACTCTCATTCTCTCATTATATACACACATAGGTCTTTCATAGGAACTGAACTGAATTCCTGGTTGGAAATGACAGTGAATCACAACAGAGATCCTTTAAGTAAGCAAGGACAGGTTTTGAAAATTGAAGACAACAAACTAACTTTTCCTTAAGTGTCTTAAGTATTATTACAAAAAAAAGGGAAAGGTGAAGACACACTGCTCATCTTCTTTTAACAATATTAATGAGTATGGAATTCAAGCCATTAAACTTTAAAATATGTAAGCAATAAATAATTCAAAGTTTCTTTTTGTTTCAACTCCGCTGAAAGAGAAAGGCGCAACCTCGGGCTATAGAACAATTTAGGGCCAGTTTTGTGCTGTAATATTTAATATTAAATTCCTCATCCTTGGGGTTTTCAGAACATTTATTGTTGACAAAATAACCATAAGATGGATAAATCATGTTGTTGTTTAAAAAAAGCAACAAGAACAGCCTTAATTCTTTTTGGTTAATTCATAAGGATTAGCGGGGTAGACAAATCAATTGCCTTTTTCTTGGCAATATGGCAGCTTTTGTGAAAACCAGAGATTAGGGAGCAGCATTAAATCACTTGTCATAAAATGGGGAAACAGAAAGAAAAAAAAAGGATAACTAAAACAAAATCCTGTGTTGGTTCTATGTCACGCATTTTACAGAATAGCATAGTGCCACCCTATGGATGCAAAATGACAGTTCTTTCAGATTTAAAAAAAAAAAAAGAAAAAAAAAAGCCTAACTTTGAAGGACAAAGATGATGTACACATTAAAATTTCCAGGACACTGGACAAACTCTATACCCTCTATTTTAACATAAGAGAGTGGGAGCGGCCATTTGAATGCGAGTCGCTTCCGGTGTCACCCGCTTTTATTTATCTCTACAAAACAGCTCGTTATGCTGCTTGATACCCACCGCAAACTGGTATTTCTTATCATATTAATGTAATGTCGCTATTATAAACACTGGCTTGTAGCTCAAACTGTGACCGTTCACTGCATTTTTTTCTTCTATTAATTTGCTTCCAGCGGCTAATGGTTTGGAAGTCTCGGACTTTGACAGAAAAAAAAAATTTGAATAAAAATATTGAGAATTTTATTCTAATAAAATAATTGAGAATAGGATAAATGTGAGGAAATGTACTGTTACTGGATGTTAAGGTTTGTGTGTGCCACTGTTTATGTTGTTAAAACCGCTACTCATTATCACATAGACTTATTTTAAGTGTAACCTGATATCTGTTAGTTTTCTCAACGCTGGTGAACCAATCGTGTGATTTACGGGTGAGGCATTTTAGGCATAATTTGTTTGCATGTCAGGTGCCTGTCTTCTGAATTAATAGGCCTATATTAAAAATATAGGCTGCATACCTTTAGTGTGCATATACAGTATATCTGCAATGCTACAAAATCATAGGAATTCGGGTTTCTGAGCCACTGTGTCCCCCTAGAGGAAAACAAGTTTGTGTCTCATAATGTTCAATGATCAGGACAGGCTGGCAGCGAAGTATTCAGAAGACCCGTGGAGGGCGGGGCTTCTACGTCGTATCAATGTGGTTCCGGTGTTCCGGTGAATTCAGTTTCCCTGTTTCCCCCTCACAGCGCCTGCGCAACTTCGCAGTGTTGCCAAGTCCGCGGTTTTCCAGCGGTAGTTTGTTGTAGCAATTGGGCGGTTTTTTTTAAAATATCCTGGCAACCCTGAAACTTCAGTACTAAAATCATGACGTCATGATTTCGCCCCGGCTAAGCAAGTCAGCTTATGGTGGTTTTGCTGTCTTTCTGCAAGCAACGTTCATTTCACCATGTTAATTAACCACCATAAGCTGACTTGCTTAGCCGGGGCGAAATCATGACGTCATGATTTTAGTACTGAAGTTTCAGGGTTGCAAGAATATTTTTAAAAAAAACGCCCAATTGCTACAACAAACTACCGCTGGAAAACCGCGGACTTGGCAACACTGCGAAGTTGCGCAGGCGCTGTGAGGGGGAAACAGGGAAACTGAATTCACCAGAACACCGGTTAAGAGGTACGCCTGTGTTTTGGACTTTGTAGCAAAATAGAAGAAAAAGGGGGTTTTATGTCAAACTGGTTACTGTCTTAGGAGGGCTTTTTATTTATTACGCGGTGCTTGTCGTTATTTACACTCCAATAATGTTTACGAGAGGATGTTTCTACAAATCCAAACAGGCTTACCAGACTCTTAAGGTCATTATGAGGATAATTAATATTAGATAATATAATTTAACATTATCGTGTTTACATTGAAATAAACAGTAGGTGAAATCAACACCGCCGTTGTGTTTGTTCCGTTCTGGACGGTACAACGTTAACCTATTTTAGGAGACAAAAGCCATAGGCTGTTTTTAGGGTCATTAAATGTTTAAATCCCCCCCTGTGTGATCTGATCAGATTACAGTCTAGCGGTGAGATCCTTGTTAGTTAGTTATTCAGTTGGGACTAGACAACTAAACAACATGACTGATTTAAATTGCCAGTCTAATGCTCTTGTATCTGCACTAGCTGCGTTTGCTTTCCTTGTATCTTCAACATGTATTTTTTACAGACCAGTGATTATAACAAGGTCATTTTGTGTGTTAATCTAAGTCTGTTGTTGTGTATATAGTAGTGTTGTTTTGAGTTTTTTTCCCCTCAGTTTGAACCTAATTTCGTGTCGTTTATCTAGAATGGGGAATTTCACGTCGGCAGCGCCTGGGTTGTCAAGCTCAGCATGTACTCAGTTTGTCCAGGTAAGCTTGTACTGGTTTGTTTTGGTTCATAGTATTCAGAAAATTAGTCTTGACTTCTTTTTTCAGTCATGTCGATTCGAATCTGTATGACTGTCTTTTTCTGTGAAACTAAAAAATTCCACACAGCCCAGATCAGAAAGATACGTGAATGAATCATTTAGAGTTGTTTGTTTGTTTTTGTTGTGAACTTGATTCACGAATGAGAATAACAACTGAAAAATGAAGAATTTGACATAATTTACTCATGTTGCATCATTTTTTAAAAGAATTTTGGTAACCAAACAGTCTCTATTCCCATGGACTTCAATTGTATGGACTAAAAATACAATGGAAGTCGAAGGGAAACAAAGCTGTTTTGTTACCAACATTCTTCAGTGTTTACATACATTAGGGCTGCACGATTCATCAGAATAAAACTTATCATGTAAATAAAAGAAGCGCTATATGGCTTAGTGCGATTATCAGATTGCAGAGGCTGTGATTTAGTTAAATATAAAAATGCGCTGCACGTGTCAGAGTAAAGCATGGCACTGTGTTCTTTTACACGCGAGCAGCTCATAATCCAGTGTTTTTAGCGTCTCAGAGCAGTTCGGTATGCAGTGAATGATATTTGGAATGAGAAGTGTTTATAACCAGCTATTTTTAACAAAAGAGAAGCTTTAAGGCCTACCCAACGTTTTCCTTCAAAATAAAAGATCAGTAGTTTAACTATAGCTTAAGCCATAAATATTAGTATTGTAATTTTATGGTTATTTTTTTTACAAAAATTTACACTGTAATATTACAATAGTAACATTTATTTTCAAAATATTTTATATAGAACTACTACTACTAATAATAATAATAAAACATGCATATACATACAATATTATAATACATACATAATTTTGCTATAAGTTTGATTGCAACATATAATCATTGCTATTAATAGTGTTCATCGTCTGTTTGATTACGTCATTTGTACGTGAGGGCTCAGGCAACGCTCAATATCAACATAATCAGTCATAATGTTTTGTATTATGTGTTCATACTCGTTGGTCACCCATGAACAGCCCAAACAGAGGTTAAGTAGATGTGTTTTAATATGTATGCTGCTGTCGGGGGAAAAAATACTTTCCTGAATGATTGACATTGTTATGAGCATTGTTAGTTTGGGGTTGTTATGCACTGTAGGCTTTCTTGTAAAATATAATATCAAATGGTATTACACCAAGCATTTTAGATGACTTTATTTGATCTGAGTCACAAAACCTCAGTATTCCTTTATGTACATAAATATTTAAAGTAAAGTATTAAAGTATTTTACAAAAATGTTGAAGTGTTCATTTTTCTGATGTAAACACACAAACACCCACTGGTTTGAAATAAAACCGTATTTTTCATACTGATTATTAATACTAATAAATATTTCTGACTTTGAGCAGTAATGAATGAACGCCTGTTTCTGCCTCAGAATTAAAAAGATAATTGTAACTTTTAATCTCATAATTCTGACATTTTTTTCCTGCAATTCTGAGTTCATGTCTCACAATTTTGACTTTTTTTGCAATTCAGAAAATAGAACTGTGAGATATAAGCTCAGAATTCTGACCTTCTTACATTTTTGAGTGTACATCTCGCAATTGCCAGAACATTTTGAATTGTCAAATATAAATGCAGATTTGCAAGGAAATATTTAATTTATTCATTCATTCATTTGAAAAGGGCTTCCATAATGTCTACGTGAACTAAACTGTCAACTCTGTTGCTATTCTGAAAGCCCTGTTAAATCATTTTGTAACATTTTAATTTTGAAAAAAAAAAAAAAAAAAAAGGAAAAGAGTGCCCTCGAACCCTCGCGCTCCTCCTCCTCTCCATTGTATCCGCGTTAAAACGAAGGGGGTGCGGAGAAGTGCGAGCAGAAGGAAGGAGGGTTATGTTGTGCCATCGGAGCGCAGCGGTGTTAGTTCATATCGAGAGAACCGGCAGAGACAGAGGGGGAGAGAATTTGGACCATCACCACATAGTTGCACTTATGTCTTTTTCTTCGTTCGTTTTAACTTCCATCCACGTGCCGCTTATATCCATAACGCACCGACATCCACTTTCGTTCTGTTTTATAAAGCGGAGTTTGAAAAGAACATTCTTAACAGATGTCAGACTCCGTTAGTGCCTCAGGTCACCTAGGTGTTTTACTCACAGCTGGTGTTTAAAACTGAGCTGGGGCGAAATTGAGGGGGTTCAGAGGCACTGGACTTTCTTTTTTTATTCAAGTTACTAAAGGAAGCAGCTCCTCCAAGTGGATTACTATAATTTCCTAAATGTTTCCCCAGAGGAGGCTCTTCACGTTTCCATTTCTTGGACGAGGAAGGATGGATGTGAGAATGAACCAAGGACACCTACTTTTGGCAGTGACTCTCATCTTCTGCAACTCACAGCTGCTGGTGGTCGCCAACTCATGGTGGTAAGATCAGATTGTATTTGCAAACGAATCTAGGTTACATATCTATATTTCTAAAGAATATCTTATTGAGTTATGTGTCTTTGTGAAGGATGAAACAATGCATAAGAAAACTGTTAGCTGAGAACAAATGTGAAGGCTTTGTCACAATATTTACCTTGGGCAACAAATGGTCAAACTGTTTGTAAATAAGGTCATTCAAGGCAACATGTCCTGAGGACAACAGGTTTTTCCAACAGTTTTCTATTTGATAATAAGTTACAGACACCATTAAAGCTGTGCAATCCATAACTTAATATCACAAAAAATGAATTTGCTTGAAATTAAACTGGCACATTATTATTGCAGTGAATCACAGGTTTTGTGTAGGTTGAGTTTGACGTACTCACGTAAAAATAGTACAATATTTACTACTACAATATCTTATTGCATTCTCCAAAAAAAAAAAAAAAAGACACCACATGAGTATAGCCTAATTAAGTTTTACACTATAAATAATGATTTTGTGTCATGCATGCTGCAGGTTAGTTGTCCACACTGTATTTGGCTGATGGTCTGTGCTTTGGTCTTACTTTCTCAGGTCATTAGCCATGAACCCCATCCAGAGACCGGAGATGTACATCATTGTAGCATGTCAAAGTGGATTTAGAAAAGGGAGAAATACGATGGATTCAATATTGTGTTTGGAAGCTGAAATTCGAAAAGCTCAAATTAATAAAGAGGTGCTTGTGGGAGTCTTTTTTGATGTAGAAAAAGCTTACGATATGTTGTGGAAAGAGGGGCTTTTAATGAAATTGGAAAGCTTGAGAATTGATGGAAAAATGTATAACTGGATTCTGAGTTTCTTGTTTGGAAGAACAATTCAAGTAAGAGTAGGGACTGCTTTTTCTCAGATTCTCCCAATTGAGAATGGAACTCCCCAGGGAAGTGTGAGCAGTCCTATTCTTTTTAATTTAATGATAAATGACATCTTTCATAACGTTGATACTGGAATAGGAAGATCATTGTATGCGGATGATGGAGCATTATGGAAAAGGGGGCGTAATGTTTTATTTGTAGAAAATAAAATGCAAAAAGCAGTGAATGAGGTGGAGAATTGGGCGAATTGTTGGGGTTTTCGGTTTTCTGTGGCAAAAACACAAGTAATATGCTTTTCGAAAAAGAAAAAGAATCCAAGTTTGAATGTCAAAATGTATGGTTATCAGCTGGAACAAGTAAATGTTCTAAGATTTTTGGGTATGTGGATGGACTCTAAATTAAATTTTAAAATTCATATTCAAAAATTGATAGAAAAGTGCAAAAAAGGAATAAATGTCTTAAGGTGCTTGTCCGGAGCTGAGTGGGGGGCAAGCTGTCAGTCATTGAAAAGAATTTATGGTGCTGTGATTAGGTCAAATATAGATTATGGTAGTGTAGTTTATAGTTCTGCGAACAAAATCTTACTTAAAAAAATAGAGGTAATACAAAATCAAGCTTTGTGCATTTGCTGTGGTGCATTTAGATCTTCTCCGGTGGCTTCATTACAAGTTGAAATGGGAGAATTGCCTCTAGAACAGCGTAGGTTTCAGCTGAGATTAAGGTACTGGTATGGTGTAAAGGGACATCTGGAAAACCATCCAGTTAAACTAATTCTGAAAGATTGTTGGGAATATGAGTACAAAGAAATTACAAGCTTTGGTTGGGTAGTAAGGAAGGAGGCAAACAGCTTGGAGTTGAAAGACCATGAAATTGCTCCTTCTGTTGCTATTCCAGCAATTCCTCCTTGGTTGTTCCCTATGCCACTAATTGATTTACAAATTCACAAAGTAATAAAAAAACCGGAGATGAACATGCCAACTGAAGTAGTAGTTCAACAATATATAAAACAAGAGTATTATTCTGTGTTACAGGTATTTACAGATGGGTCTAAGGAGCCAGAGTCTGGGAGAACAGCAGCAGCAGTTTATATTCCTACTTTTAAAATAAAAATGGCTAAAAGATTATCAGATCATGTGTCAGTTTTTACTACCGAATTATTAGCTATCATACTAGCTCTACAGTGGATCGAAGAAGTTCAACCAGAAAGAACTGTGATATGTACTGACTCAATGGCTGCGCTCACTAGTCTACTAAGTGGTAAATCTGAAGCTCGGCAAGACTTAGTATTTGAAGTTTTACAAAGTTTGTTTAGAATAAGGCAGTTAAGGATAGAGGTCAAATTCCTCTGGGTGTCTGCACATGTGGGTGTGGATGGAAATGAGGAAGTAGACTTGCTAGCAAAGAAAGCATTAAATCATACACAAATAGAAATTAAGTTAGCTTTAAGTAAAGCTGAATTCAAGAGAGTGATATCATTTGAAGTAAGTAAGAAATGGCAAAAGTTATGGAATAATGGGTCTAAAGGAAGACATCTTTTCCAGATTCAGGAGTGTGTTGGAAATGAGAGGAAAAGATACGGAAATAGGAAGAAAGATGTCATCTTATCAAGACTAAGAATCGGACATACAGCATTAAATTATAGTCTTTATAAAATAGGTAAGCATGAATCGGGAAAGTGTGACAAATGTGGAGAATTAGAAACAGTGAAACATATTATTTTTGAGTGTTCTGCATATGAAAGGGAGAGATTTCAATTAATTCAAGAATTAGGATGGCTGGGAGTTGATAATATTTCTTTAAAAGTATTGTTGGGAAATGGGTCGAGGCAATCAAGAGTGCGAGAAAATATATTTAAATACCTGAAAAACACAGGAACAATAGATAGAATCTAGGAATTTTTGTCCCTTTTTTATTTTATTTTATTTTTTAATTTTATTAATTAATTTTCATTAATAAAAAAAAAAAATTTATTTAATTTTTTTTATTATTTTTTTTTTCCCCTTCTGTATTTCTTTCTTCCAAATTTATGCACACTCCACACTCCAGATCAGTAGGTGGCGGTAATGCACCTTTTTCGCTGGTTTGCCAAACCGCCATAAAACACCAGAAGAAGAAGAAGAAGAAGAAGAATACGCTCCTGGACACGTGGAGGCAGAAGCGCGACTCACGTTTCTAAGGCACCGCGTGAAGCAGAAGAATGACGCACGTCGAAAGGAATGCCGGGAAAACTACTGTATGTGTGAATGAGTCCCATTAGCCTCGTCTAACCGCTACTCGAGCACAATTTTCTGTTTACATTAAGAAACATAATTACAGAAATGGCGGGAAGCGCTGGGGAATGGTGTCTTATGGAAAGCGACCCTGGAGTTTTCACAGAGCTGATAAAGGGCTTTGGTGAGCACTCTATATTATATACATTAGCGGTGCGTGTGAGTGCGCTAGTTTTGCTTCATTTCAGTGATTTAGAATTTCAGTATGATTTGTAGTTTATATAGGGTTTGATTACCAGCCTGCAATATGGTGTAAATCCATATAATTGGCTGAATTCATTGAATGGGCTCTGCGCATGAGTCAGCGCTGCGCTTGTTAATTAATGCAGAATGACAGCTGCCTCACATTTCTGCTGTTCTGAACCTGTGTAACGTATAATGTCATTGAACGTGGCTCAAAAAGTAGTGAGCAGCCTACCTAGACGGCATTTTTTGGGGCATCATGTGTGTTCCGAATCATATTTGGACATCGGAACAAGCATCGTTTTGTATTCATTATTGGTGCCTTTGAACAAAGTTCGTTTAATTATTGCTGCTTCTGAATGTTTGATTCAGTAATTTGGGGGTTATACCCCCCAAAATACTGAATCAAACATTCAGAAGCAACAACAATGGCGATTAATCGATTACATTAATCATAATTTAGATTAATTATAATTTATGATGCATTCCGAAAACAAGATACAGTGTGTGTTGTATCACTTATGTTCTAAGCATTTGATTCAGTATATTTAGGCTTTTATTTGCACGTTCCAAACGATCGATTTATATTTCTGTCGGCATTGGTGGTTCCTTACTAACGATCATTGACCACTGTATATTTGGACAAGTTCCGAACATTCGATTCATATTTTTGTGGACATTATATAGGTGCTTTCCTACAATGTCTTTGAGGTGCTTTGGGTATCATTTGTTTGTTCTGAACGTTCATATTTTTTGTGGGGATCATATTGCGTCCGAACATTCGATTCAGTGTTCTGAGAATTCCATTTCATTTTGTTTACCGCAAACGTTTGATTGGAAAATTTGATTCAATATACTGTGTTCTGAACATTGAATTCGTTTTTCATGTGGATAGTATGCGTTCAAACATTTGATTCAGTGTTTGAGTATCGTTTGCAAGTTCCAGAGAGTCGATTCATTTTATGTCAAGACTCCCTCAAACATTTGATTCATTACAAGTGGACATCATTTGCGTGTTCTAAACGTTCAATTCATTTTCCTCTGGATATGCATGCAACTAGGCATGGGCCGGTATGAGAATCTGACGGTATGATAACCTTATATAAAAATATCACGGTTTCACGGTATTGCGATTACAGCTCTAAAATATGTTATTTTTAAATGTCTAGGTAAAAAAAACTTTTTTTTTTCCACTGAACACATATTTTATTTTTAAGAAACATATAGAACATTTTGGAACAGTAAACATGTCAGGCTAAATAATTAGAATAAATAATTAAATTCTTCTTAATTAAATGCAGTCACTTAAGTGAGCCTAAACCTGCAGCTCAACAATAATCAGAACATAAATAAATTATTTTCTGTAAAAAAAAAAAAATCCCTATAAATGAAAAAAAAAATACAGTCACTTAAGTGAGCCTAAACCTGCAGCTCAATAATCAAAAATATAATCAAAACATAATTTCTGTAAAAACAAAAATTAATAAAAAAAATTTCAGTCATTAAACCTGCACGGGAAAATTTTAGTGGTTTTGAAACCGTGACTTTTCCAAACCGTGGTATACCTTGAAACCGGTTATCGTCCCATGCCAACATGCGACCATAGATTCGATATATCTGCGAGTCATTTGCCCGTTACGAACATTCAATTCATATTTTTGTAGACTTCAAACATTTGATTCAGTATGTTTGGCCATCATTTGCACCTTCTAAAAATTCTGTTTATATTTTTTGTGGACATTAAAGTGGCATTGAAACATTTGTCACAGTATATTTGGGCATCATTTGCACGTTTAAAATATGTAGTTGATCATTTTGTGTGCATAAAAAGAGTGTTTGAACAATTGATTCAGTATATTTGCACATTCCAAGCATTATTAGTATGTTTAAATATTTCTGGATCATCATTGGTGTAATCAAACATTAGGTTCAGGATTTTTAAAATGACTTCAGTTCATACTGGTGCATTTAAACATTATTTAGGCATCGTTTGAGAGATTTGAATCCTCAGTTCAGCATTGGTTTGTTCGAAAGTCGTGCGACATTGATGTCTCTGTTGTTGTCATTAGGATGCAAAGGTGCACAGGTAGAAGAGATATGGAGCATGGAGCCAGAAAACTTTGAAAATCTCAAGTAAGCAACACCCTTGAATCAATTATTATATTCAGTCTTCCTCCGGCGTTTAAACTGCAATTGAATATGCATGTAAATCATTTCAGGCCCGTTCATGGTCTGATTTTCCTATATGGGACTTTTTTTTTTTTTTTTTTAAAGATTGAGAACATTAGAAGGAAGCACAACTACCTACCCTTTATAATGGAGTTACTGAAGACGTTGGCCGAATATCAGCAGCTGATACCACTGGTGGAAAAGGTAAGTCCAGTCACAATCACCAGTGTGTTTGATAGCCAGTCTCATCACACCACTAGAGGGCAGTGTATACGTTATCTTGACTTTGCTGTTGAGCTTACAGTCTTTTGTTCTCTTGTAATTAGATTTGCATGAAACACTATATTTTCTCTGTATTTTCTGGGATTTTATCGATAACGATAATTAGACTCCTAAACTCCTAAAGTTTTTGATATTCTTCATATTCTGTGTGGTCAGTTCACAGCAGTGATAAAAAATTAATCTTTTCCAATAAGTTTAAATTGATTTTTACCTTTTATGGTCATTTTTACATTTAAAAAGCCATTTTTTCTAAAAGTGTGCATCATCTTCTGAGTCAAATTCTTACATTTAATCGGTCAATTATAATAATAATAATAATAATAATTAAAGTTGCAAAGGGGTGGAAAATTCCCGGTAAATTTCCGTAAACTTTCCAAAAATCCCTGGAATATTCCCCAAAAAAATCCTGGAAAGTTTCCAAAATTTCTGTAATATTTCCTAAATTTACTGATAATTTTCCAACTTTTTGCAACCCTAATAATAATAATACATTTAGGCTGTTACCAAACAAATGAAATCAATATCAACGAAATTCATCTTTGCAGAAGTTGCATCTGAAGTGGCATTTAGATGTATTTACACGTTAATGCAGCTCGGAGGGACATGGAATGCTTTAATCTACAGTTACAAATGTATAAGTAATGTTTTGATATTTTAACGTTGAACGCTGATATTTGAAATTATTTAAAAAATGAAAAGATACTTTAAATGTGAAATTAAAACCGCCAGTAGGTGGCAGCAAGTCACTGTTAATAAGTGAGTAATTGCGACTGAACCGAATCATTTAAACAGTTGATTCATTCAGGAACGAAACGCATGTTGCTCAGAGATGCAAAACAGTGCTGTGGCTGTGTTTGGAATGATTTTTTGTTGGCGAAATTGAGCAAAAACAGGCAATATGGTGACTAAAACGTAAGTCTCTTAATATTAACTTATTGTTTACGGAATCAATATCACATTTGTAATCATGTCGATTTTTGAAGAAAAAACGGCACCCTTCGTGTGATAATCGATTAACTATATAAAATGATAAAAATATATACATTTTCTGTCTCCATATCTTGAATTGTGATCATGTGATAGGGGCAGAACTCCGCCGTGCGCGATAAAGAGAGCAGAGGAGAATTATAAATGCACGACCATGTAGAGACAGAAATGACATGCCCTCGTGTAAATAAGATAAATAGCATCAGACTATTTAGTTTGTTTAATAAAAGAACAAGATTACTGAAATAAATGAACTTTTCCACGACATTCTAATTTATTGAGATGCACCTGTATATGAATTGCCTTAGGTCATCCATTAAGTTCACCTATCATGTGGGGACAACAGACATGAATTTTTTGGACACAAACATCTCAGTTATCAATGGCCAACTTGTATCTCCTCTGTATAGAAAGGAAACTTCTAAAAACAGTCTTTTACATGCAAGGAGTGCTCATCCCAGGTTCTTGAAACGTGGTCTGCCGTATAGTCAGTTTATAAGACTTTTTCGCATTTGTTCTAACAAGGATGACTTTGAAGCCAAAGCCCAGAACTTATATAGTGATTTTAGATCTCGGGGATATCCAATCAAGTGGCTTGATACTGCATTAGACAAAATGAGATCTTTGCCAGATGATACTAACTTGACCTCCAAAAATAAGAAGTTTTCTTGTGTATTTAAATCTACTTTTAGTCCCTTGAGTCTAGAAATCAAAAAGGCAATCAATAATCATTGGCATATCATACAGAGTGATTGTGATTTGTCAGGCCTGTTTACTGATCCACCTCTCTTTGTTCACTCCAGGCCTCCAAATTTACGGGATAAATTGGTGCGTGCAGATATAGCCCCATTCCTGGGGCCCTCTCTGATGCCCAGGGAAATTTTCTGTGTAAAGATTGTGTTGCCTGTTCTCATTATTTAAAATGCAAGTCATTTACACATCCATTAGACAAAATGAGACATTTGCCAGATGATACTAACTTGACCTCCAAAAATAAGAAGTTTTCTTGTGTATTTAAATCTACTTTTAGTCCCTTGAGTCTAGAAATCAAAAAGGCAATCAATAATCATTGGCATATCATACAGAGTGATTGTGATTTGGCAGGCCTGTTTACTGATCCACCTCTCTTTGTTCACTCCAGGCCTCCAAATTTACGGGATAAATTGGTGCGTGCAGATATAGCCCCATTCCTGGGGATTCTTTTTCGGATTTTTAATTCCTGGGCATTGAGAGGGTTCTTTTGCATAGGAGAGGTGGTAGCCATGATGCAAAATTGTTACAAAGAGAGACTTTTTGGATTTTTGAGTTGAAATCATTAACCCCGACTGGATTAAATGAAGAGATGGAACTTGCTTTGTCACTTTTTTCACTTTTGAATATGGAAAATAAAAACTACATTTTTTTTAAAGAGACCTTTTTTGGTCTGATTGAAAAAAACCATTTTCAGTGTGCGGACAAATTCAGCGACTTGTTGGACTAAAATTTTTTCCCTTTAGCTCTACACACATGAGAACTCGTTCTTTTTGAGCGCACACAATTCCTGCTTCATACATTTAAAAAAAAAAATACAAATATGAAAAACTTTCGAGGATTTACGCCACTAATGACCGTTAAACGCGTCATCACAGTCTTGCTCCCCAGTCTTGTCCTGATAGACATCTTAAAACATTATTTACCTTTTTACATTTATTCCTAACCTTATCAATATGTTGACACCAGGTCAACTTCTCATCAAAAAACACTCCCAAGAATCTTACAACCTTAACCTGTTCAAGATCTTGCCCATACAGTTTAAGTAATACTGTTTTAGGACGTTTTCCTCGCTTAATTTCGTTCACTCTTTGCTGATATATAGCACTCAACTGCCATGCACTATATAGGGATTTGAGAATCAGTGAAGACACCGAGAGTCGATTCCAGTGCTGGAGTCGACTCCGACTCTAGGGCTATTCAGAGTCGAGGAATCGACTCTTTTGGAGTCGACTCCCCATCCCTACTAGAAATCTAACCTCAGCTAAAGCGCACGCATTTTAGGTCAAACTTTGTGCCTTGGATTTTTGCCTTTCTCGTGCAGCCGTTCACATGAAGTGATGGAAACTTCAGTAAGTGTTGTTCAAAAAAGCTGAACAGGCTTCTTAATATTCTGCAGCGCTCAAGCAGACGCTTAAATCACCCGAGCGTTTGACAGTAGTTTTGTATTTTTTCATCCGTACTCGTAGCGCGCGACAATTGTTTACACAGTGAGTTGCGTTTCTATTTTTGCCGGACTGTTTATTTACATTCCTTCAAACTCCCCAGACCAGTAGTGAACTTCAGAGAGTCGCTGTAGTACATGATAACCGCGTCACGACACCGTTCCCGCCATGAAAGAACACGCTATCTTATATTATTGCCGTCAGAGCTGATCGCGGCAGTTGATAATAGCGTGAAAATGCGCGCTTGCGTTCGGATGTAGTCGCCATTTCCTGCTCTGTGACGCGCGTACGCCTGTAAAAGTGTACGGTGCGATCCGGTTATGTGAAAAATCTTACTCTTGCCAGAAAAGTGTGTTATGTATAGGTGTGAACATGTTCTGAAGTTCATAACTATTCCAAACATTTGAGTTATCTACATGGGTTGAGTAACTTCAAACTACAAGCTACAGAAGTCTTGAGAGGTTATTCTGGTGCAGCTTCACAAAACCAGCCCATTTTATAGCTTTTTTTTAATTCGTTGATTTCTCAGTTTCACAGGAGTTGCCAGCTTCACTAAATTCGGACTATATGAATCATAATAGCAATGAAAATATTTTTAACTTATTTTTGGACACTCAAGTCACTGAAAAAAAACGTGCATCTATCTATCTATCTATCTATCTATCTGTCTGTCTGTCTGTCTATCTCTAGCTATCATCTAATATCTCTCTCTCTCTCTCTCTCTCTGTACACACACACACACAAATACATACATGCACACACACATATATAAACAAAAAATTCAGTGTGTAATATATAATTTTTTCAGTTATATAATATATAAAAGTATTTTATTTAGTTCGTTTTTAACGCCACTTGTGTACATTTATTTCAAATGACATTTGTGTTCATGTATCCAGTAACTTTAAAAATTCTCTAATAAGTCTCTTAAGATTATTATTATATAAATGGCACTCGTGTTTATATATTTATATATCAAGTAACCCAGTTCACACTTAAATATTTAAACCATATTAGTATAAATATTTTAATAATAATAAATTAAAAATTATTTATTTATTTTTTACATATATTTTAAATTACATTTGTGTTCATTTACCTAGTGGCCCCAGAAAGTATTTTTTGGACTCTCAAGTCACACTAAGAACATTTTTGTTAATTATTTATTTATCTACTTATTTATCCATTTATTTTGTTTTATTTCATTTTAATGGCTGTTATGTTTAGATGTGCATTGGTCCTGAAAGTATTTTAGACTCAAGTCACACTTAAAAATTGTGCATCTTTTTCTCCTTTTATACACACACACACACACACACACACACACGTGTAAAAGAAAATAAAAACGCACACATTTTTAAGACTTTATATGTTTATGTATTTATTTTATTATTTAAATTTTATTTATTTATTTATTTGGCATTTGCAGGCAATTGTGGACTAGAAAAAAATTCTCATACCAAATTTCATGTTTCTACTACAGTTTTTCTTATAACTTTAACCGGTCCCAAACTGATGTTAGTGGGTTTGTGAAATCCAGGTCTCCCAGCAGTCTCCACAGGTAAAGTTCACCACATTAACTATGAACATGGGCCTTTTTAAAAAATATT